AATTAATTTTGTAATTGTTGTAACTTTTGGTGTGAACTTTTTTAACCAATCAGTATTCTAGACATACACAACAGCTGACTGAAGTTTTGAAAATCAAAGTTTTCTGTGTCTTGGGAAACAGGATTTTGAATTGGTTCAGTGTATTGTGGTAATGACCACAAAAGATGGACAAAGTTTCCATTTCTGATACATAAAGCCATTCCAGAAGTGCCCTGCATTATTTCTCATAACCAGTAGGAAGTGACTATGGCTCTAGTTTCAAAAACACGTCCCACTATACATAAGTCTAAAGAAAAAAATGTTCACTTGGTCTGTGACCTAAGTAATTAGTGTTATTCTCTTCTTTTGGTTTCTGCTCTTACTGAATTACTAAATGAAACTGACTTTGAAAATTACGGTCCCCTTTAATTTAATAAAGGATGATAAAGCAGCTTTACCACATAATGAGTGTGTCCTATATAAACACCAAAATGGTTGCAGTGAAAACACTCAGCGTGTGACTTCACTAACAAATGGGTGGCGTAAACAAGACTACATCCGTCTTTTATATCTATGGTAACGATTTACAAATATACAGACAAACATACCTCATCCTCATCTCCAAAGTCATCCATTGCCATGTAGTCTCCTTGAACACCACCAGAGGGCGCCTCCTTTGGAACACGACGCCTGAAAGTAATTTTAAATAGTAGTAAAGTAGATCATGGTAAACAATTAGACTAAAAGTTATAGGTGAAAATTTTAATGTAGATTTTCATGAAACTATCAAAAACTATCTCATGTAGATAGATAGATATGTAAAGACCAATTACACACACTCCTTAATTTTTACTCTTTCTTTGTTGGTGGGGGTGCAAACTGAAAAAGCTCATTCTCCGAAACCAAACTAAGTTTTACTGCAGTGCCCACAGGATAAGGTAAAGTGAGATGGGTAAAGTGATCTTTATTCCCTCCCGCCTCACTCTGTCTTAATGAGGATGTCCTGGTTTTTGGGGTCCAGGACACATTTACAGATGAGCTCCTGTGTGACGGGGATGGCCACGTTGTTGGACACACACAGGTCTGACAGGTAGTCCAAAAACCTGCAAAGTCCAGGAAACACCAAGTAGTAAAACAGAATATAACAGAATAGCACTTTATTACCACTTTCAAAAGTAAAAGCTATAACTTTGGACTATATCACTGCTTGGATTTGCCCAAAAAATGCAAACATCCATATCAAAGGCAGATTGCAGGAATTTGAGGATTTTGACTTCTGCAGAGGTTAAGCAATAGAAAATTTTGCCACCGTCCTTATTAGAAAGTCAGGAACCACTGCTGCCTTGGTGTTAGCAATTTTAATCGCTTCAGTTTGTGTCTTTGGATTGAAGATTCAAAATCCTGGAGTCTAATCTGCACTTGGCATGTACTCGGGATTGTTACTGTCTCCGTGCGTACCTGGGTTCTCGGTTCTTGCGGACCAGACTGACAAAGGTCTCCACCTCGGTCTTGGTGATGTGTTTCTCCAGCAGTTTGCGGTTGTTGTGCAGCAGGGCAGTGATGGTGTCCTCAGCCAGGATGTCGTACCCAATCTGACTCTGCATCACACCGAACTGCTTCGCTATATACTCCTGGGGAGGGGTGAATTTTGAGTCTCTGTGATCACTGTTATCTTCAGCTGTTCTACCATTAAGAGCTTTATCGGGCATCAAAGTTTTGTCATTTTTAGCATTTAGTAGCTGATTTGTCTTTCTGCTTTCACAAAGTGATTGAAAATAAGAGCTTTTGGCTTAACAAAGAAAACACCGGGACAGCTCCAAACTCTTAAAAGTCTCAACTTTATAAAGCTTATAAAGATTAGCTCACCTGGTTCTTGCGGTAGTCATCCTGAGAGTGCCGGAGGACTCTGTAGCTGAGTCTGAGCATGTACTGGTAGGGAGCATTCTTCTGGTCGGCCAGCTCCTCCAG